AAAATAAAAGAAAGAAAGAAAGAAAAGAAATGCCTGGAAAAGTGGGCAGCATTTTACAGGCCCTGGGATGGGTATGGATTTTGTTCTAGAATCAATGGAAAGTCACTGATGGATCATAACAGGAAGACAATGTTTCCTATGGTCAGCAAACAGCATCCCACCCTCTGTCAAAGATGTCCACAACCCAGTTCTCAGAACCTATGAATGAGTTATCTTATGTGACAAAACAGATTTTATGTGTGTGACGCAGATAGAGATGTTGAAATGAATCTATTATCCTGGATTGTCTCAATGGGCTGAAGGTTACCTGGGGGTCCTGATAAGAGGGAGGACAGGAACATCAGACCGGGAGAAAAATGTGACAGAGGGGCAAAGCCTGAGTGATGGGGAAATTCAGGCAGCCTGTAGAGCTGGAAAAGACAAGGGAATAAACCCCTCCCCTAAGCCTGTAGCAGGAGTGTGTCCATGTTAACACTTTGATGTTAGCCCACTGAAACTAACTTTAGACTTTGGACTACCAGAATGATAGGAGAATTCATTTTTGTTGCCCCTACCTCATCCTGTACACAGTGTTACTGGAGATTGTGCCCAGAGGCCCTTTACCATTAGTTTTGTCTCTAACTTGCTTTTTTTTTTTTTTTGAGATAGAATCTAAATAAGTAGCTAACTTGCCCAGGTGGGGGTCAGACATCCTATCCTCCTGACTCTGCTTCCCAGAGTACCAGGATTGCAGGCATGCATTACTACAACCAGCTCTTTTCTGTCGCTTGAAGCCACTACATTTGCAGCTAATGTGTTACAGCAGCAACTGGAAATTGGTGCAGAGCCTGTGGCTGTCGAAGGAGAAAGGCTGGGAGAGGATCAAGGATGAGATGGGGGTGGCAGTAGAGATGCAGCTACCAAACGTGGATGCAGTGGCGTGTCCAAACGTAAGCATGACTGTGCACAGACAAACGTACTCAGACGTAGAGCTCATAGAACTTGCCAGCTTCCCTGAGCTCCTAAATCGCTCTTTGTTTTGGCAGCAGCTATAACCCCTGGGCACTGTTTGGCACACTAGAGACATCAGTCTTATAAAGCAAGTGCTGCTTTACTAGGTAACTGATTTGACAAATAAATAATTTACTTTCCAGCCAGAAACAGTCAGTGGATGAATAACCTAGCTCCCAGGCCAGACTAAACTAGTGTAAAGGCAAACTTTGTTCCACCTCCCTAAGGAGTACAAAGCAAGGCCAAAGATGGCAGTACGTTAAAAAAGGGTGCATTTGAAGGGAACATGTAGGCATTTTTTTCCACAGAGAGAAAACTACATACAAGCTTTGCAGAATCTTGCCTTCAGAATTTCCTACATGGGCTTCCTTGGGTGGTGACTGACCATAGCAAATAAGTCTTTAGACCTGCAGCATGATTTCTGTCAATTTACAGAGTTGTGTTTTTCTACATGTGTCAGCCCCAGCCATCCCCAAACAGACAACCACACAAAAAACAGCATTGGTAGACCTGCACCTACTACGCGGGCATCAGTAGCTCTGTTCTTAGAACCCTGAAATTCAACCTTTCTGCAACAACAGCTGACAAAGAAAACTCAACCTGCCCCTACTTTGCCATCTACCTTGGCAGCACCTCTGTCATGTGTCCATCCTAACTTCAAGAAAGGCCAGGGACATGGTGACATCTCCACTCTGTAAGGTGAGCGAATATGGCCCTGCAAGTGCTTCCAAGGAAAAGGTAACACCCTGCTAAGGGACAGAGTTCAGATGCTAACTAGTCAAGAATGTTAGGCTAAGAGATAAGAGAAAGCTTACAGAATCCGAAGTTAGCCAACACTGAACCTGACCGCTCCCTTAGCCTTCTATTTACTTCTCTTAGATTCAGTTTCCAGATAGATAAACAGGGAAGAAAATGACCACAAGAATAAAACCATTCCAGGCACCACACTTTTCACACAGTCAACAGAGGAGAGAAGCCATGGGACTCCGAGCCAGCCAGTGAGCAGCTCCTCTCTGGTGCAAGGGAAGAGGAAATCATGTGATGAGTTTCAGAGCATTTCAATTCTCTGCTTTCTATCTGGCCTCCACATCTCTGCCCACCATGTACAATCGCTCTCTCTTCTGGTGGCTGGGTGGTCCTTTGCTCCTCTGCACTCCCTTAGGGCTCAGGAAGCCTCATTTCAAGCTAGCTAGACTGATGCCCAGGTCTCCCATCCTCTTGCTTGGAACAATCAGAACAGATCACTCATATTTTTTAACATACACAAATCCCATTTAATGGTCAAATTTCTGCCCCAAATGTGTCATCCATCACCCACTCTCTAAATTAATAGTTTGTTGTATCTTTTTAAGACTCTCTAGCTCTCCAAAATGATTTGTAGTGTGAGTACTTCCATTTCTACCCATAACAGACACCAAAGTGCTTGTGCTTAAAGAACAGCACAGCCACCCGAGTTGGTAAGAAGATGCCCTCTTGTTCCTACTCTTATCTGTCTCATAAGAAGTTAACCTTCTCCCTGGTCTCTATTTTGGGAAAGTTTTTATTACACAGGCCACAAAGCCAGCCATGGCCTAACGAGAATGGCAAGGTCGCTTGGCACGCTGCGTGCCTTTGGCTGATTGCACATTGCTCTAAGGCTGTCCTTGATATTGACGCAGTGAATGCTAATGGCATGTGCTTCTTGTTCCAGCAATTAGCTTTGATCTTTGGCTTAATGCTGTGTCCAGTTGTTCTGTAAGAGCAGGGAAAAAAGCTCTCCCTGGGCCCCATTTATTTGTATATATTTATTTAAGGAAGTCTGTGTCGCTCCTAGGCACTGTGGCAGATGTAAGAAAATCGTTCCTGAGCCTTCAGAAGCTTAATAGCATAGAAAAGGAGAAAAAGCAAGTAGGCAAATATGACATGCATCGTGCTCTGAGGTTTGGAGAATGGTGCTCTGCCTTTATACCAGGCACAGTTTAAGTCATAGGAATGCAGAAGTGGAGATGACAAAAATAGTTCCTATTCTCACTGAAAGGGGTCATAATTATGTCAGTAGAAACCTAAATATACAAGGTTAATTTTGAAAATGATAAATACAATTAATAGAGCAGGAATGGAATGGAATGGGGTAGAGTGGAGTGGAATGGAATGGAATGGAATGGAATGGAATGGGTTAGCTGAGAGCAGATATTCAAGCAGACCTGCTTCAGATAAGACAGTGTTAGCCGGTCAAATCCTAATGGAAAGGCTGGGGATTTAGCTCAGCAGCATAAGCACCTGCCTTGCAAGCAGGTGGTTGTGAGTTCAATCCCCAGTACTGATTAAAAAAAAAATCCTAATGGAAGACCAATTTAGCCAGACGACACAGTGTGAAGGCCAGGGAGGGGCACAGTCTGAGGACTTCAGGAGAGAAGTACTTAGTTCAATCTCAAAGAATGGATAAGGGTGCCATAAGAAATAGTGGTTTGCATTTGTTTTCTCATCTTGTGCCTCCTAGGACAGGTGGGAGACTACCTCGCATTGAAGATGCTCATAGATATCTAATGCCTCTCCCTACCTTAGCCTTCTCGCACCCATAACCAGAACCCTGCCACAGAAAGGAGCACAGCAATGGTCAGTGGGCAGCAGGACACCAAGATTGGTCCCAAGAGGTAGGGAGGTGAAACCACAGTGCAAACTCCAAGTTCACAGTGCATACTCTCTACTGTAATCTACTCACAAAACGGAGATTTGAAGACATGATCATTAAACAATTTCTAGATGGAGAGTACACCATTATGCTGTGAGGCCTTGTACTATGGCAGCAGGAATGCATCTATTACATCTGCCCTTAACCCTGGTGAGCTGCTACTGCTCCTCAAAAGCACCCATACTGCCCATGCTGCTAAGTGATATCAGCTGTCACCACTGAAACTGGGTGATCAGTGCATGGGAATTCTCTGAGTTGCAAATTGTCCTCTGTGTCTTCAGATTCAAGCACAGATAAATACATTTGGGGAAAATTGTGTCTGTACTGAATATTGCACAACCTGTTTTTCTAATCAGTATTACCTAAACTGCACAGGATAACTACATATATAGCATTTATATTGCATTAGGTATTATAAGTTATAGAGATTAAAGTATATGAGAGGCTGTATATAGTTATATATAAATATTATACATCTGTAGATATGATTTAATAATCTACAAAATTTATGATTCTCAGGGGATCTTGGAACCAATCCCCATAGATATGGAGGAGCAAATATTCCCAATGTCCTGTTAACTTATGATTATTTGAAAAGAAAAAGTTATATACAAAAGCTCTCATGAATATGCTATTGTTTGGAATGAGGACAGAAAAAAGGAAGGAGGGAGGGAGGGAAGAACAGAGGAAAGAATAGAAGAAACTTCTTAGTGGTACACAGACATTATAAGCTATGAGTTATCAAACAACACGAGCTAAAAATACAAACTCCATGTATGAGTCAAAAAGAAATTAGGTTCACATTCCAAAGGCAAAAGACTAACTTTCTTTCCAGCCACACTTGCCTTTTATCCTGTCCAAATCCAACAAATGATCATTTACTGCATACTCACTACGTAGAGGAATATATTGTCCTAGAGTCTTTGGGATGGTAATACAAGACCATTGCATTTCAAGGAATGCATTCCTAAATGCTGATGAAATCTAAGCCTAATCTGGACCAAAAATGATGAGTACTTAAGTTACCAGCCAAGGAAGTAATATTAATGGAAATTGGGTGAACAAAAATCTATTGGCCTATATGTTTCAAAATTCTTATTGTGTTTTTAAATTTAATTGGGATAGTCACCTTATTTTTGGATTTTGTAACTAATGCTTAGATGATACTGTTCAAATTTACATAACTCAAATAAGCATAAAAAGTGACACAGATTCTAAAAGGATTTCTGGGACCATATAAAACAATAGACAGACAGACAGACAGATAGATAGCAGCCAGTGAAATCCTTGGAACAAAGCACGCAAAAACAAAGCAAGTAGAAAAAAATTGAAGGAGCCATTCTTACATAATCATATTTTTAATAAATTAAGGTCTACCATCCCAAAGAATATTGTTTCTCAACTACAAGGCTAGAGTTGGATCTATTTCTTTAAATTTTATATCAACAGAATAAAAGTAGAGCTTATTGAGTTAAACTGTTTTATAAGAAAATGCCACTTAGCTTTGAGAGTCAAAATGTTTTTCCAATGAAGGGAAAATTAGTACCCATTCAATTCTTCTGCTTCTATGTAACTGTAGAGCAGAGCAAATTAAATTTACCTATACCCTCCAAGTCTTGGTGGAGTCAGCAATTAGAGGACCTTTTTCCATCTCTTCATGCAACCTAATAAAATTAGGCCTCCTCTTGGCTGGGTCCATCATCAGTGTCTGCCCTGCACAGTCTGACCTTGAAGGCCAGTCTTCTGTATTAGTACAGCCGTGATGATAAGAAGGCCAGAAGTACTAGAGAAGTACACTTCACCAAACTCCAGGAAGATGGAGAAAATATTGAAAATAGAATTAACAAAACTGACTTCCATAGCAGGTAACATGTACTATTGCTAAGAAGCCCAGCGAGACACCAACCAGAGACTTAATCCAGAAGAAATTTTCATGATAAATATCAGGATTACACCCATTGGCCATTGTCTATTTGATTGATGAGAGTTTAGTAATGCATTTTCTCAGAACCCAGCTCCGTCCTTGCTACTCTATGAGGAAAACACAGAAATCTGCTCAGATGGAGCTGATACTTACACAAGTCAGTAAGCTGCAGATAAAATAGTCTGCCTAAGAAAAGATGAAGAACACCAGCTCCAGGTGGTAAGGAGCCAGGTCCCAATCCTGCTTCTGGCTGAGCAGACCTGGGGTGGGGGGTCCAAAGAGTTCTCCAAGCTTTTTTCTCCCACCGTAAAATCGAGGTAATGGCATCCTTGAACCACAAGATTAATGCGAGTGTGGCATTCAGTACATTTGGCCTTCATGAAATAAATCTCATTTAGTGGAGACAGTTTAATGTTGTGGTTAGATAAACTTTGGTTCACATCCTGACTTTACCACCTATTAGGTGCATTTTCCTGGTCAAATTATTTAACTTTGCTTGCCTCATTTCCTCGTTTGTAGACTGCAGATAATGTGACCTTCATAATAGACTGTTTTATTTCCTTGCCAAAATCAACAAAGGAGTATCAAGACAAATCTTTCAAGACATGAAAAAGTATCAGGGCTAAACAGTAATTCTGCTGCCATTTGAATCGTTCTTTGAGGAAGAGCTAAACAACATTCAGAATCCAAGCTATTTTTATCACTATGCTGGTAAAAGTATTTTTTTCAAACGTTCTGAGGTGTTCAGATTTCTTGAGCTTAGACAAAGAAGAGTTTGCCGGAGAGTGTATTGTCTGCGTCCGGTCAGGCTCCAAGCACACCAAGGGTAGAGGAGGGCTGAGCCTGATGCCTGAGCATGCAGAGGAAGTCAGGTGCACTAGGGGGTATTGGGAGACTATGGTGGGTGCTACTGGAACTAGGAGAAACCTCCCTCATCAATAACTTTGTATATGTTGAGCATCTCTTAAGTTAGGAAGGCCAGCTTCCGGTATATCCAATCTCCCAGAGTAGAGGAAAGGGTACACACAGCAGAAATTGGGGCTACAGGACAGGTCTACACTTTTTGGCTCCCTACTCACTATGCCACCAATGCCCAAACTGAGAGAGAGAAAATGCTGGGGTGACTGCAAGTGCTTAGCACTGCGGGAGACACCACGGGGCTGAAGAATGTGGACGTGGACGGTGCAGTGTGCTCCAGGCTCCCTTTGAGCATCCACAGGAGTCAGGAAAAGCCCTTTCTGCCTGCAGCACCCTCTTGTGCTCTGTACTTCATGCCAGCTGGAAAAGCAAAAATATTTAAAAGATCTAAATGTGTTTTCAATGATCAGGCAATAGAGTGTGAATCTAAAGTTTAGAGGCAATAGATTAGCAACTGGCACGGCAAGCAGTGCGAGAGGAGCAGTTCTCGGGTGGGTGTTCACAGATCTGCCAGAATAAACAGTTAAAGGTCTCATTTGGAGAAGCTCAGTCCCTGGATCTGACAGGTTGGCTCCCATCCCCAGATTCCTCTCATGTAGGTGGCAGTGCTTATTAGATGCTTAGCTCTGCCCCAGGCTCAGATCTGCAGGATTCAGCACTTGCCTCTGGTTAAACTGGGACACAGGCATGAGATGCCAAGGAAAAAGCAGATTTCTCTTCCAAGTTATATTCTGACTCACAACAGGGAAAAGGTAGGGAGAGAAACCTGAAAAAGAATAGAAGGAGCGTGGAAGGAAGTGCTGAGTAAACCATCAGGTGCGTAGATAAACATCTGAGTCTCCAGCGCCAGAGCACAGACCGGGTCACCTTTTCCACAATAAGGGACAGAATAGGCTGGACTAGGCCCGCATGTAATAATGGACATGCTCAACTTGGGAAAAATCCAGGGCTCTAAGAACATGACAGAGAAAGTGGGCTGAGGAATTGCTGCCCAAAGTGAGACACCTGGGCTAGGGCTAGGGCATTTCCTGAGCACACACAAAGAAGGAAGTGAATGGGGGGAGGGACCAGAAAATCAGTGTAAGTTTAAAGTCTAGGTGGAACTGAAGGCTTGGCACGAGCAATGTCTGGCAGATGGAACACTCATTCTGCAAGACTGACGGAAGCAAAGGAGAGAGAGGGAAGTGAGGAGAGAGAAATTCACCAACACTCAGGTTGTTAAATCAGGCATGGGAAGGGCAAAGACTGAAGGGGAGACCCTCAGATGTGATCCCGGAGGAAGCAAAACTCAGTAGGCCAAGCCTGGCTTTCTGCAGAGCACTGGGCCTCTGTCTGTGGGTGATGAGAGCTTCTCAGTACCAGTTCAGCCAGAGATCATTACTGAATCCTTCAAACCTCTGCGTATGGGGTGGGGCTAAGCATTCAACAGCCCTGCCTTGGGAAATGCAGAAATCCACCAACAGGAGACAAACTCGGCTCATTAGGACTCCCTTCAAAACAGGAGGTCAGCTTTCCTCCACTCTGCTGTCTTCCACAATCCCACTTTCACCCTAGGCTGACCCCAGGGATTTCAGATGTAGGAAAGAAATAGCAGCTACAGAACAACCGTATGTGCCACACACTTTACATAGATGGTTTCCTCTCATCCTCACAAAGGAAGATGCTGTGATCCTCACTTTACAAATGAATAAATTGAAATCCAGAGAGATTAAGCTCTGCTGGCTTGTAATTTTTAGACCAAAAAAAAAAAAAATCATTTCAATAAAAGCACTCTACTACTCATTATTAAAGCTTCTTGTGAACTACTTTTCTGGAGTCTCACTTTCATCAAACGTCTGTATAATAACAGAAACTAACATTTCTACAACAGTTATGAATTAAATCAATCCTACTAGCATTTTATAGGTAAAAAACCTGAGACCTAGAGAAATAAGTCACATGCCCAAGGTCATATTGACTTAGTAAGTACTGCAGTGATGACTCAAACCCTAGCTTATCTGGTACTACAACCCATCTAAAATAAGTAATACAATGCTCCTCTCTTAATAGTGGTTTCCCTTTCTCAGGATTTGTTTGCCCATGATCAAAGGTGTTACAGAAACAAACAGTTCTTAAATTTTAAGTTGTATGCCAGTCTGAGCAATGAGATGAGATCTCACACCGCTTAGGATGTGAATTCTTTTGTTTGAACATCAAAGCAGTACATGCTTTCCATCTGCTGGTCACTTACTGAACAGTGAAAGGGTGACTGCAAACTGCTGCCTATTGTTGAGGGGCTCTCAGCATCTCTAATCAGGCTCTGAGGGACACTCATTTCTCAATTTTGCTTCAAACTCTCCGCTTTCAGCTCAGTTTCCTACCTGTGTATTTCATGCACCCTTTGATGCAGTATTTTGCTTTAGGACAAGCTCTATTTCCCTACAAATTTATCTTGACTCTGTTTTCTCCCACTGAGAATTCACTTGTTCTCATGCCTAAAAATATCTTCCTCTACCTCCTTAGTTTGTGGATTTTCATTGCCGTTCTCAGATAAAATGAAATAGAGTAGAATGGTGCCCCAGGATTTCCCTTGTTTTAGACTAGAAAGCCTAGCAGCAACAGAAACTTTTTAGCATGTTCCAACAAAATTTTGACTGAAGCACATGATTCAAAACTCAAACCCGGTTGCTGAAAGGCACGACTGTCCTTGTCTGTGTTGTTCTCTACAGAAATAATTAACTTAGAAGTGGATTCACAATGGGTTGAGTTTTTGTCGTTGTTATTGCTCACTGTTGCCACTTCTGAGCATCCTGACCTTTGCTATTATTTCTGTTGAAATGTTTCCGGGATTGACAGTGTCAACATTATCCAGTGCCATCTGGCATACACAGCTCCTGAATATCACTGAGAGGCTCCTTCACAAATCCCTTCGGCATCCTTGCCATTTTAATCTGCCCTGCACACACGAAGCAGCTGGATCTAGGAATTGGCTTGGGAAGACTGAAAGGGAGCTAGAAAATTTCCGTACCATGGACAGGAGAATGCAAATCTGCAGGAAATCCAGTCTTGAAGAAATTGTCATTTTTCTCAGCACTGACATGAGAGAATTTGGCAGAGCTGTGGAGAGAGAATCAAAGGAAACCACTTTAAGAATCACTGTCAAACCAAGGGATTGAGTTTTGCTAAAGAGAGGAATTAAGGCTCCGAGGCCATGGCAGGAAAATAACAAGAAGGATTCTTGTTGTTCCTTATCTCTGGGAAACACTGGATTGGGAAATGGGACTACTCCAGACATCATTAGGATCGCACTAAGTGAAGAATCCTTTCCACCCTCTGCCTCTCCACATGAGTGCAGTGTGAAGGCGCCTGGACTGGTGGCACTGAGAGGAAAAGGCTGGATGCATAAGCACCATTGCCAGAGCACCCCGCCAGCTGCACAGGCTCCGTGGCCACGGTTTACTGCAGCTGCTCCCTGGGCCACCACAGGCAACGGGGCAGCAGCTGAGATCAGTAAAAATGGAATCTGGGCCACGCTGGAGACTGTTAAAAAGATAATAACCCTCATTTTTTTTTAGCTCCAGTCCACTCAGCAACCATTCAGTCTTCTCAAACAGATGCAACTTGAACAGATTTGAGCAGTATTTGTGTGACAAACACTATTCCTGTTTGTGTGTTATGTGCTGTATGTGTGAACTCCTTAGAGTTCCCTTACAGAAAAGGATGTAGAATACTGTACTGTCATCCCCAGAGTGGCCTTCCAGCACTGCTACTGGACCAGCATGTGTCTTATCCACATAGTGAGTCCTCAGAATGCAGACCTAGCAGGTATTTGCTCTTAGCAAATGATCACACATCTCACTTACCAACAGAATAAAATCTCTTGATCTTATAGTTCTCTGTTTCTTTTTGTCTTTAAGATGTTTCTGGGAAAATGAGATAATTAGCCACCATGTGTAAGTCTATAAAATCATTTTGCTTATTAAAATCAAATGAAAATATATTCTTTTTGCTTTTAATGTCATATTTTGGTTACAATTATTCTACAATGTTCTACCTTCCCAATATTTACTAAAAGACAGATAAGAATTCTAAATTTTACATCTCTACTCTAGGAATGTTGATAATATCAAGCTACTCTGAATCTTGAATGTTGAATACCATAGCCATCAACTGCCAACTTCAAGAACCAACAGTTCCTCAAATCCCAAATTTATTTTGTAGTGTGGAACAACAAAATCAGAAAACCAGAATAGAAGTTCTCTCTCTCTCTCTCTCTCTCTCTCTCTCTCTCTCTCTCTCTCTCTCTCCTTCTCCATGAAATCCTTGGACGTCTCACTGAGCCTCAGTATCCCCTCCAGTATTATTGGCTTCCTACTTGATAAGCTAATTGTAAATATTAGAAAAGATAGAGGCCATTAAATTGATATGTAACTATGAGATGTTACTTTTGGTTGAAAAATATCTGTTCCACCCCGCTGAGTTTTAAGGTATTTTTTGTATATGTGTCTATATACATGCATAAATAATCACATGTATGCTTGGAAGGAAAAAGAGTCCATAGCTTTCTTCACTGTTTCAAATAAATTGACTACCTAGTTAGTAACCTCTAACTAGAGACATATATTAGTGATACACACATGTGTAGGCATACATAACAGATGATGTAAGATATACCATCTAAAATACTGAGATTAAAAGTGCACACTTGTTTCTCAACAAGAATCTATTAGGTAACTAACTATGTGCACAATACAGCTTACTTTTGCTAACCGGTAACCCTTTTCACTTACCATTTGACTGCTCAGATTTTTTTCTCATAGAAAAACCATCTCAAGAAGAGAGTTTTTCTCATAGAACAAAAACTCTCTAAAGAAGAGACATTTTGCCAAAAAAATTTTTTGATAATTAATAAACACATTACATGATAAACTACATCACCTGTTGTTAAATAAACGCAGCCCCAATGACAAATGAAAACCTGATGAAACACAACTGTGTACCCGCTGCTACCAAAAACACAGCCATCCTTAAAAGTGGAGAGGTGTGGAGAACCTGGAACATTAATATGCTGCTGGTGGGGAAGGTCAGTGGGTGTAGCCACCTTAGAAAATAGCTGAAAATAAATTTAATATGACCCTAATTTTCCAGTCTTAGCAATCTACTAAGAGATATGAAAATCCATGCCAAAAACATGCTATACAAATGTTTGTAGCAGTTTTGGTCAAAATGGCCCAAAACTGACCTAGATGTGGTGGCCTACACCTGTAATCTCAGAGTTGGAAAACTGAGGCAGGAAAACGGTGAGGACTTCAAGGGGACAGCCTGAACCACAGAGTGACGTCACTGTACCTCAGAAACCAGAAGGAAATAAACACCCAAAGTGGAGGGAGTCACCAACTTGTGCAGGTGTAAACCAAATGTGGCATCTGAATCCATTAGAATATAATAGGATAAAAAAGCGCCAAGTACTTACTGATAAGTGCTGCAAAATAGAAGAAACTTGAAAGCAGTACACTAAGAAGCCAGTCACAAAAAAAACATTTTGTGAAATCACTTACATTAAATGTCCATAAACGCTAAACATGTAAAGCAGAAAGCATATCTTTGGTTGCTTGTGCTGGAGAGGAAACAACAGTGATTGACTCAAATGGCCTCAAAGGAAACTTGAAGGTTAATGGGAAAGTTCTAAAACTGGATCATGGCAATGGTTTCCCAACTCTGTAAACTTACTAAAGCTCCCTGAACTGCACATGTGCAGTGAGTAACTGCTTGTTATATAAATTATATTTCAGTGAAGGTCTTAAGAACAGACATGAATCATGGACAGAATGTTTTGAGAAACAATTATAAAATTAGTATAAATATTTACATCGAAGTTGATTCTAATTTTACAAGCATATTGCAGTTAGTTACAGTACTGTCCCCTAGACTGTCCATTCATAGTTACCTGGTGTGTAAAATGAACATAATAAGAACACTCACCTCATGAGTATCCCTTAATAGATGCAAAGGATTTAGAAGAGGTCCTGGCATACAAAAAACATGAAACACAGGATGAATACAAGTACTAACTAAAGATCTTGTTCCACTTTCAAACATGTAAGTTTTGTGGTATCAGTTTCTTTCAATGTTCTTTTTTTCTGATGGGAAAAGTGAGTATTAATAATCAATGACACTTAAAACTATAACCAATGATACCTTTCTAAGTTGGCATAAATGAAATATATAACAATTAGGTTATCGTGGTGACGTGGAAAAATACTACAGATGGAAAAAACACTTGTAGTTCATGGAAAATGTAAGGAGAATGTAATCCACCAAACCTTTTTGACTTAATGTTATATTGTACCAAAAAATAATCACTTAAATTCTTTTTTCTTCTCTTATTTTCTCATTTAGCTGCTTAGTTACTGAAAATCTTCCTTATCAATTACAGGATGAAGGAAAATTACCACCACTAGAAGCAATAAAATTAGAAGGTGCTGAAGTTTCTGTTGATAGCAGCTTTGGAAAACCATTTGTATTCAACTGTGTCCCTCAGTCTGGAAATAGAAATTTTTGCCTATGTGCAACCTCAAACCAAGAAATGAAAAGGTAATTCATTAATCTTTTACCTTACCAGTTTCACTATGATAATTCATTAATCTTTTACCTCGCCAGTTTCATTCTGAGTGGGTGAATGCTTCTTTAGCAACAGTCTTGCAGATTCTTGGGGTTAGAGGCAGGAAAGGAAATGGCAGATTTGTTATACGAGCCAATAAATTGGTTTTTTCCTTAGGTAGAATTTGGTTCTTCATTATTCCTTTAAGGTTTTTTTTTCGAACTGAATTTTTAAAAATACAAGTTTATTCTTCTAACTCAATAGCTTTATTTCCATGTTTTCTAAAAATGCTCAACACTGCTATAGTACACATGTAATGTCCCCTTGCCAGATTTACATATTTTAGGATAATTTGACAGATAGTCTTTGGTATAAAAATATTGTAGCAAGATTGCAACTTAGTTCACCAGAGTGAGGGGTGAGTGGCAGGGAGAGAAGCTTTGAAGGGAAATGAATTCAGTTGACACTTTGTGAGCACATAGCCCAAGTGAAGAGGAAAAAATATGCATGCATCCTAAGACAGTGGGCTATGAACTTTGACCATAGCAACCTCTGCCATTACTCAATGTGTCTACCAAACAGAATGGGAATCACTGGTCAATCCAACAAGTCAGTTGGAAACTAGAGAAAGTACTGCAAATTTGGAATGAGAGTGTGATTGAGTGGGGGGAAAGTCAATGACATAAAAGTAATTGGTCACCAGTGTTTAGTAGATGTAGCATATTGCTTTCAAAAAACTTGAACCCAGCTCCAATGTTCAAAGATGTAACAGGCCTGAAAGTTCTGAGGTAAACAATATACCGTCTGTATGTATAGAAAACAATGTATTCAAATGCATATTGCTTTAAAGGTAAGCAAGGAAATACGATGACACCAAAAAGTATTTCAGTGCATGCACAAAACATTTTTGTATAATTGAAATATACTTAAAGTTTTCATGAATTATCAGTATGATGAAGAGCTACCCTTACCTTAAAGATAAAACTTTGCTCTAAGAAGATAAAGCCTTTGTTCTGATGTTTTGAGTGCAAAATAAGAGTTGAGATGTGTTTAAGAGAGTAGACAAAGTGACACAGGAATTGAGAATAAGGAGACAGGGGTTTTGGATGTAGGGCAAGGTAGTTATTCTGAGAGTCATAGCATGAGATTGGATAAGCATACAAAAGAAGAAATGGATCATAAGGGGGCAGAGGAAATAAATCAAGCTTTGGGGCAAACAGCAAATGGTGTGATTTGATTGGAAGTTAGAGAATTTAAAAGAAAACTGAAAAGGACAGGCAAGATAGAATGGGGTGGCAGGTGCCTGGCTGAGGTAAGATAAAGAAAATTCAGTCTTTAAGAAGGGACCAAAGGCATTCGAAAAGTAGCCGGTGTGACTTAGGGCAAGAACTCATGGCAGTGACCATTAATCTGTACTTCCATATTTTAAGGTCAGTGCTTTACAGTTCTTATAGCAATTGTTTTCGGCCCTGCTGATGTTAGTAAATTCTATACCTTGGTAAAATAAAGTAATTAAATTATAGTAAAGGAGAAGTATAACATTTATAAGCATTTTTTTACTTTATTAGTACATAATATTTACTTTATTAATACATAATATTTACATTATTTGTGGGTATATGTATGTAATGCATCCAAATTCCATATCTCTTCCATCCCTCATCCCTCCATCGCTTCATCTCCTCCCCTTTGAGAAAGATTTATTCCCTTACTTTCTATTGCCTTTCATTTTGCTCTTCATTTTTACTCTGGGTTCCTCATGTAAGAGAATCTCTGTGATCTTTAGGCCTGTGTGCCTGATTTACTCCATTTAACATTATGGCCTCAAGGCACATCCATTGTCCTGCAAATGATCCCAGTGTTTCTTTATGAGAGAACAGTACTTCATGGTGAGTACTACATCTTCTTTATCTGTTTATCTGCTGCCCAAGTGTCCATCAGTAATTTTTTAAAAAATATACCAGGTGTAGGTGAAGCTTTGCCACATAGTAACTCTAATTTTGCAAGAATGCATCATTCTTCACTCAAGAATTTGGAGCAGAGACGTCCACCTGAGTCTCAGGACTGTCTAACCCATAGCTTCAGCAAGAGTAAGCCCCTCCGGATCACACTCACCCGGTCTCCTTTCATCTTCCTGTCTTTCAGGTGGCTGGAAGCCATGGACAGAGCAGCCCACCCCATCCACCAGGTAAGGTTACCTTGACGATTATCTCTGCTTTCATTCCACCTTTTCTTTTTCAGATGGGGGAAGAAACAAGTGTGATGCATGGAGCTCACCCTGGGCTTCTCAGATCTGTTCTGAAAGCCAGGGAAGGAGATTTTAAGTCAACAAGATTTTCTATGTATATCCTGCAGGGAAGCCTACACTAGTATATGGTTTTTATTTGGGCGTTGTGGGGTTGTATGACATCTCTTCCAGTGAGACTCAGCGAAAAGTTTAAAACTGGGATAAAATTTCTGCTTCACACGGAGCAGTCTAACCATTTTCATGATGATAAAACAATGTTGCTGTTTTCTTTTCGCTTGCAAAACATAAGATCTCAAGGATATCTGTGGATGGTGCAGTTGGCTGAGCAGTTCATTAGAGAATGAGCACATTACATTCAGATTTACAGTGCTTTATGCTCATATCTTTATACTGTAGACGTATCAGGACAACTTTCACAATCCCTTTCCATTCTTATTACCAACTTTGGGTCAACGTAGTTCTTCATTTAACATTTACCTACAAACTGATAGATAATTGCATAATATCAAGTCATCATTTCTGGGCCTATGCCATTTGATAGCTCTCTTTCTGAGTTTGTGCTATACAATATGTTAGGAAGAATATTGTTTTCATACCCAATTGTTTCATTTTTATACTATGGATATGATTTTTAATGAGGTTGTAGGCTTTCCTTACATATGCTTGTTTCCTCACAAAATGGCATAGAAGCAAAAGTTTTTCACTTTTAATTATCTTCTCTACATAATTTGGCCCTTATACGTTTGAAAAAAAATCCAGATTATTTGAGTATGAATGTACCTTGCCTCGTAACTGTCCTTTCAAAACGATCACATGCATCAGCCTATGACAAGCACCAAGACTTTTGTATTTGATGTGCAGCACAACACTCAGTGCACTCTCCCACCTCCCCGGTGCATCATGTTAATAATGAGCCTGGGTGTTTTTAAAAAGTATTGCTCTGCTAATGCACTCAGTCTGTAGCAAAGTGAAAAAATGCACACCCAACTCCCAGCAGGCTTCCACTTCACAGCCAAGAATATAGCAAGCTCTGCAGTCTGAAATCTTTCCTACTCCTTCTTAAGTCAAAGGTCAAAAATAAAACCAAACAAAGCAGAAAAAAAATGGCAAGCGGGAATAGGGTGCTCTGATAAAGAGATAAAGCTCCGTGCTTCAGTCTCAGAAAGAGCCTGTCTCCCAGGCCCGGAGCTGAGGGCTGCCTTCCAGGGTACGGGAGCTCCATTTATCATCAGCCTTCCACATCACTGACCATGAGAGCCTCAAGTCAGGGCTGGCCTGGGGCATTTAACTCGTTCATTGGACAAATGGGAGCCCCACATAAAGAAAGGCAGGAGCTGGGAGCTGCTGTTACTCACGGTGACTTACCAGGAACAGGCCTAGGAGGACAGTTCCGCCACGGAGGCAGTCAGGCCTGGCACTGACAGACACGGATGGTAAAAACAGTCTTTGCTGAGGTGTCTATGTCCATTTCTTTTCTCTATACAGGACACTCTGTTCTTTGGCTGATAGTCATTTGATTTCCTCCTTATAGAAGTCAAAGAGAAGAGATGCCCATGAGTTTGAAAAAGGAGAAAAGTTCTCTATGGACAATGGAGACATTATGTTTTCTGAACTCATTGCTCAAGTCTTCAAACTGTCTTAGGTACAGGGCCATTCAGGGCAGCGACCCCCTGAAAGCTAAACAGACTCTGAGCTGCTGGCCCTGGAAGTCAATGGTCTTTGGTGCTAGACGACCACTCAGAGAACCCTTTGTGCTTCACCTGCAGAACCATGTGTGGGAAGATGTTACTCTGCACAACAGCAGTCTCCCACCCCTGGCTATCAAGGAGCCTGAGTGCCTGGGTCTTCTGCACCAGCTGGATAGAAGCATGGATGCATGGGTCCAGCACTACTGCATCCTGAAGGATGGTTGCTTATATTTCTATGCTAGCATCCGCTCCACCCAGGCCTCTGGTAAGAAATTACTATTGGAAATAGCAGTAGTTTCTACAATATCTTTACTGAGCTTTTACTGGTCCCTGTGCTCCGTGTGTTATCTAAATTAGCCATCAGTCCTCCAAAGAAGAGGTATTCACTGTTCCTATTTCACAGATTAGAAGGCTGGCTATAAAGTCTGCATAATTTGACGAACAGTAAGTAATGAGGTTAAGCAACGAAGCTGAGATCTGAACACAGCTAAGCAAATTCCAAAGCTTGTAGCCCTAACTCCTCATTTCTGATGCCTAGGAAAGTAAAATTTAAATCCCTCTACTCTTTTACTCACTGGTGACATTCAGAGTTGCTGACAATCTTTTTCCTAGATAGGAACTCCATCTGTAGTATGTCCAATTTGGATTAAAAAAAGAAAAAAAAAACACTCTTTCCTGTGTGAGCAAGTGGCTTCATTTCCTAAAAATTAGTTTCCCCATTTATGAAATGAGAATAACTACTATTTCACAAGACTGTTGGGAAATTCAGTGAATTATTGTCATTACAAATACACATAAAGCTTTCTGTATGAACAGCTCTCAACACATAGTATGGTCATGTATCATATATTTCATTATGCGTACTTATTAAATTATATATACTATTTAAAAGCTATATCGAAAATGAATATCCCAATAATTTAACTAACAATAATTATAAATGATTTCCACAAAACGGATTTTAACTTTCTTGTAATTTTGACAAAGTATTTTGATGTCTTGTTTGCGGCTGGGTTTTGCCATATGAATAATACTTTAACAATTAGCAGTAGTAAGCATCCTGAAACCTGGGTCATTTGATTTCTGCTTTGGGCATTAAGTGTGTGATCTAAGCTAATTAGACAAACCAAAGGAAAAGGAGAGATCCAGTGACTATTCTGACTTTTTTGAAAGTTTCCCAGACATACACAGCATCACTTCATGGGTCATTTTTCCTCACTCTTTCCTATTTGGTCACACTCACAGTGTATATAACCCAGGCCACAAGATCAGCCAGCTGGGAAGAGGCAGACAGCAACTCTAAGCTTCCACAGAACAGGCTGTTTCTACGTTCCCCATATCCATGGCTTTAACAGCTAAAAGCAAGATAAGAATTAAGGTAAATAAAACAATTAAACCTCCAAATACAGTCACTGACTGAGACTTTTATTATAAAATGTCATTACAAAAGGCTGGATGCTTTTAATTGGCACATCAATTAAGGTAATTTTCAAGAGAATGTTTCCATAAATACAAAACAAGTGCTTCAAACAGAAGGCACCTAGTACTCCCAACTCTAAAATGTAAGGAAAGGAGTTCCAAACCTCTGGAAGCCAAAGACCTTTTAAAATTTCAAGAGTTTAAAAATAGTAATGACAACCACCAGGTGGCTTCCCTGATCCAAAAAGTCAGAGGAGGCTCTGCTTGGGTACGAAAGTCCTAGTTAGACAGCTGCAAGCAGCTTTATTAAATAGCCTGAAAATACTAACAGTAAAAGCAGCAATTATTACACAGTGAGAGCAGCTTTGGTACCGGTCTCTCTGGTAAGTGTTTCTACCTATCATTTTATTTCATTTATAAAAGAACCTTAGAAAAGTGGCTATTGTTTCATCGACAGGTTCGGAAACTGGTGCATGGTGAGGTCAAAGAATTGACTTAACTTCCTCTGGATAGTAAATGGTGAGGACAGAATAGAAACCCAGGTAGCCTAAGTTATACTAACAAAAAGAAGACACTGAGGTATGGGAAAAACTGCAAAGACTGTTTGTTTTGGGCTCTTACCATTGCACACCTCTTTGCAAATGTCTCATGATTGCCTGGAGAGCACTGTAGACTTTACTTGTCCTCCAACTCCTTATCTGGCTTTATCTTTCCCTCCTTGCCTGAAAGCACCCTAACTCCACCCAGAGAACATCGTGTTCTATTTCCTTAGCACGTCTTGTCTCCAGTCCTGCTTCTGATTCTGTACCTGTGCTTGTGCCACCTGCATTCCCTGAATTCTTCTCTACCCGCTGATCATCCAGCACATGCTGTCTTCAAAATGCCTTTTAAAATCTATTTCTGCTCCAAAGCAATTCTAGATGGTTCTAGATAAACAAACCTCACTTTTCTGAAGTTCCTTAGCTCCTGATAGTTATCACGGTCTCCCCTGTATTTTATCTCTTGATGGCTATTTTATCTTTTCAAGGGAATCATGTGTTCCAAAATTTGCTATGTTCATCAATGAATAAAAAAAATTAAGATGACCTCAATTGGTCATTATTTCCAAGAATTATGAGTCTTTCACTGATTTAACAGTGGAGAAAGATTTGAACATTGTACTGCTAATTCAAAAGCAAAACTGGCACTCAGCCGGCCACATGAATTTTGCCTCTCTGCTACATCATATTCTGCTTAGACATAAGGAATTATCTAATCATTACCTCTTTTTAAATTTTCCCTTCAAAATAAGCCCTATTTTCTTTCCCAGCTTTGCTTCCTGCATATTCCCATCTTAAAAGATCCTGAATTTACAGACCCAGTTATCTCAAATATGGATTAAAACAGTATTTTTTTTCAAAATAAACCCTGTCATTCTTTTCCCCGCCTTACTTCCTACATATTCCCCTCTCTACAAGTTGTCAATTTGTAAGCCCAATTGCCTCAAATATGAAGTAAAACAATATTTTCCTTACTGAAATTCCAATAGAAAATTTATATCTAGGCCATGTTTTAAAATAGAACTCTGTTATTTTGTTAGTGTACTCACTGCATTTACATGATTCGATTCGTCTGTTTCCTGAATAAGAAGTACAATGTGCCAACCCCTCCTACTCTGGCTGCCACTTGGTTCACAGGGAAGGTCTCCTGGGACTCATCAGCTGCTAAAATTCCTTCAGGGTTGAGGCAGTAGTGCAGGAGCTCTCCTGAAGTACTTTGAATTTTAACTCAAGATTCACATTCCCTTCCTAAGAGTCCCCTGAAGCTTCTTGCATACATTAACTTGAATCATAACCAGAGGCTCACAGCCTGAGAGCCAGTATAAGACTCAAGACAGAAAGGGGAGAGGCCTAGGGGTTTAGCTCAGCGCTCAGCGGCATAAGCGCCTGCCTTGCAAGCAGGCAGTCATGAGTTTGATCCCTGGTACCGATAAAAAAGGAAAAAGACCCAAAAAAAAAAAAAAAAAAAAAAAAAGACAGAAAGGGGTCTTGGCCAACTCTCCTGCAGCACATTCTCTAATCACATATGCCCTCTCCACCCTCCACTATCAGTCACTGTCCCCACAATCAGCCTTTTTTCAGAGGATGGGAATAGACTTCCTAGTATTATTAAAGAGGAGAGATTACCATTGAGAACATTCTCCATTTCAAGGACTATTACAAACACTAGTACTAGCCCTTATCTCAATCTTATGTTTCCATAACATCCAGTGTTATTTTCCTATCACAGGTGAGAAATTTACAGAACAGTTAACTCACCTGTTAATTGTCACTCAGCAATTAAAAGATCAGAAGCAAAATGGGGACAAATTCTGTTTGAATGCCCTACCCAAAATCTTAGCTGCAATGCTATATGCAGTATGTACCTCTAGCAGAAATGTCTCTTCTTGAAATAGCATTAACTCAGAAATAATATATGTCTACTCTTGGTACTCTGGATATCAGCACAGTGATTAAATTAGCTAACGTCCACCAGGTAATTATTTATCACAAGGTCTATAGGAATTGTGGGAGCAGCAGTGGAATTTGTTGAGAAGGCTAAACTGGTGCTGTGCTAAAAAAAAAAAAAAAAAAAAAGCACTATAAGGCTCATTTTCACCTACTCAGTTTATATGTGTGGAACATGAATCAGTGTTACATTCATTAAAAACTATGCAAAGTTCTAATACTCTTTTTCTATTTTTCTAAGTGATGCTGAGCAAATGACCTTAAACTGGTCTATACAATTCCTCTTTCACTTGTAGTTACCAGGTCTACTTAGCTTCCACATCCCACCTTGACCCAGTTCCGTGATCTGTCGTAACGCTGCTCACACCAGTGCTTCTCAGGTTGCAAGTCTGGTTCTGTGAGTCACACAATCTCTGTAATTGCTTGTGGTGAATATTTTTAAAACAACTGAATAGAATTTAATGTAATAGAAAGTATCATGCATACATCGTCACATTTCACAAAACTTTTAGTCAATAATGTGAAGCCATGTAGATTTGAATTTATTACATTTTCAGATCACAAGTAAAAAAGTCATGAAAATACTGACACACAATAAATAATAAGTAGTCTTTACATTTGTCCTTATACCAGTCTGGTCAGCTCTGGGCCAGACTCAGGGATGCACACCTGTAATTTCAGCACTTGCAAGCCTAAGATAGGAAAATCTTTTGAGCCTAAGAGTTTGAGACATCTAGGCAACACAGTAAGACCCTGGCCCCAAGGATAGGAAGAGGGAGTCAATTTTATGTTCAGTATTTTAGAAACAAAGTACGAAAGAAGAGTTGCTTCCTTTCAACTATATTTGTAATATGTCTGCTATGCCTTGCTGTGCTCTTGAGACTCTAGCTTCTGTGACCTGATTGCTTGGTCATAGCGTCTCAGTTGTTTTGCTGTTTTATACATTGCTAATTTTTTATTTTACTCATTGCTTTATGTTTTATGCTAATGATCTGGGAGACCTCATGTGATATTTTCTATTTCTGAAGGTATTTGTGGTTTTGTTGGCATGACTTATTTCTTGTAATAACATTAATCTAAAAGCTAAAAGTATACTGAAGACAACAAGAAATGTCAGGGAAAAGATAAAAAGAATAGAGAATACAGAAAGATGTGGGAAGCAAGACGACAGAGCTAGTTTCCTAGAAAAACCCTATGAGACATCCCTAATCCCACACTTCACTTTCAGCTAGATAAATATCCTTTAACATGTAACGTGGGAGTGGGAGAGAGAGTCTCATCAGTTCCCAAAGGCTTTCCTCACTGTCAAGACAGTGTTATCCTTGAAGAATATGCATTGTTGGCTTGCATGTGCTTGCTAATATTTAAAAGTCACTATGTAAGTATTCCAGAAACCCATTAGTCAAATGCCTTTATATGCACCTGAAGGCCCTTGTCATTCACCACATGCTTGATGACTTTTTTCCCTTTTATTGCTCTCCAGCAAAGCCTGGTAGTAACAAATCATGACCGCTGACTATTGTTCATGAATAAATCACATCAAGGTCTCTGTGCACTGCTTAGAAACACATATTTTACATTATTGCAGCCAATGGGACACGTAATGCTTAACAGACTAACATGGTGCTGGCGGGATCACTATCCCTACTCACCTCGTAACAGAGAGAGACTGACCCAGTGGCGTCACCTCCAGTGAAATAGTGAGGTTACAATAGGATGCCTTGCTGCCAAACATGTATAACACACAAGTGATTGGGAAAAGAGTCGGAAAACTTTCCTGTTTTGTGGGAGGTTTTTTGGACAAAATCTTCCAAACCATCATCAGAAAGGTAGAGACAAGAAAGGGTGTTCATATCTTAGCCAAAGGGGAAAAAAGTCTCACAAACAGAAAAGCCAATGCAGTAACCAAGACAGTAACATATAATGCTGGGTGGCATTGTTTGAAGCAGAGAATTTAGCTGGACAGTACTCTATGATATTCCCTTAGGTATTCTGGTTATCCTGAAACATCTAGCACTTAGTGCACTCCATTTCCACTCTTTGCCCAAAGAACTGAAAATATATACCTGGGGGTGGAGGGGGGCTTGTACGTGAATGTTCATAGCAACTTTACTCATAATAACCAAAACATTGGAGAAAATTGAAATGCCCATCAACTAATGAATGGATAAATAAAAGGTGATATATCCACACAGTGGAAAATAATTTCATAGTAAAAAGTGCAGAGTCTCTGCGGGAGATTCAGGCTACCTCACAGCCTCAAGACATGAAACAGACTAGGCTCCAGAGTTTTCAGAAATTTCTTCTGCTCTAAGACACTTCCCCAGAGGTCCCACCACCACCACATTCCTAAACAGTGGAAACAAAATTCAGGCCAAGCACCATATTTTATAACCACTAACATGAGTTGAAAGGACCACTAGAAAGATATGACCCCTTCAAATCAATCCTGTATTCTCATTACTAATTCCAGATGGTTCTTTCATATCACCCTATGGGTTCATATTTTTAAGTATACTTTGCATAGTCACAAAGAAAAATAAATAAATATTGGTGGTAGAAACTGCCTCATTATGTTTTAGAAAGGATGTTATAATGGTTCTGTCCCAGAAAATGCTATTTAATTTCCCTCTAATGTGATAATACAAGTGTTGTTCTTTGACACTGAAAATTTTATTTCAAAATAGGTCCCCTGGTAAGCAAGCTAGTTCTGGCACACAGTTACCCAGAACAAAATGCTGCGCATGTGGTAACAAGATTGCACAAATGGAAGCCAGAGAATTCAAATTGTATTACCAGTCTTGCTACGAATCATTAATTGTTGTGTGACATTATGCTTACAACTTACTCTTTTGAAGTCTCAGTTTCCTCACTTGTAAAATAAGATACTTGGACCGAGGACTTTCTTCTCCCAACAAATCTTCCTGACATCTTCTCCAAAATTTTTTCACCTTCTACTCTTTCCCTATTCTCACTGGACTTTTTTTGGTCTTTCGTTATCGTTTGTAGGTGGCCTCTATCTACAAGGATATAGGGTGAGTGAACAGATCCATAGCTTCAAAGAATCAGTAATTGAACTCAAACCTCCATCAGAAGAATTCAAGACTTTCTATTTCTGTGCAGAAAACAAGACAGAAAACCAACGGTAAGCCAAGGGCTTTGTATTTCATCTTTTTAAAGCTCCTGACAAAGTCTCTTTAGAAAACCCTTGTCCTTAATTTCAAATGCCACATCTTCAGTTAAATCCCTCCCTTTCCTTGAGCTCTCCATATTTAATATTCCTTTGGACATTTTTTTTTTCTTGTAATGCCTTCACAGATGACTTTTCTAGAAGAATAATTTTTAATGGAAAAGCAGTCCTCAATTCTTCTCAAGGCAATATGAAAAATTCATTGGCACCATAACCTATAAATTATTATAATTCATTAATTCATCAATTTTCATTTTACCTCTTTTCACATATATGTTGGTTGTTGTCTTTTATTATAAGCCACCAAAGGACATAAAACTTATCTAATTTGTGATATATTCAGTGTCCAAATTGGTATGCACAAATGAAAACTTAGTTAATAATAACTCTGAAAGAGAGTGCTGAAGGACATTACAGAGAAAGAGAGGAAGAGAAATCAGGATTACAGCTACAGTGGCAGAGAGGCCTCAGTGAACGGGGCAGACAATGGAATGAGGGAATAAGGTAGACAAAATATAGCAGAAAAGTGGAGTAGCAGACATGAGGCAGAGACGGTAAGCTAGTCTTTGGTAGAGACAGCTCTGAAACTATATTTAAAAAAAAAAAAGCAGAGGTCATTGCTAACGGTGTATAACGATTTAAAAGACACAGTAGTCCTAGTGCCATATTTAGATTGAATTAAATTTGTTCTGGTCTGTCCACTCATGTCAGATTTGAGGACACAGACCTCTAGAACCAAAAATAGCAGGTTATACCATGGTAACTATCCTTACTTTCCTATTGACTTAGGCTGAAATCCTGTATTACTTACATTGTCTTACTATGACTGATCTTAATTGTATCTGAATCATAAGACTATTGGTTGGCCTTGACTGATCCTATTTGAAATCGGTATGCGTGTTAGAATCAACCCTAAAAGTAGAGGAAACTACTCTGAGCATGACAAGATGTAAAGGATATCCATACTGGTATGAATCAGTAACAGCTCTCAAATACTACAATGCAGTCAAAGATAAGTTTTTATAAAAATAGGTGTAAGTATGTTTAACTATAATAAGCCAGTGTTGTGGACAAATCTATTGAAAATAACAAGAGAAAACATAGTAGCTACGGAAGATCATTTATATTATAGTTTTATAAGTCTTATCCATTGCATGTTTTTCTAGGAAATTGTTTCGCTGTCTTGTTATGACTTGGTTTTCCCTATAATACAGAGAGGATAGGAACAAATACTCTGAGGAAGAGACCTGAAAAACCCGAGGCTTATTTTGTAGCATTATAATATAAATTCTAGCAATCTATTGCTTGCTGATTAGAATGACATTGGACTGGTTTCTTCAGCTCAACTTCAGCATATGCAGAGATGGGGACGGCTATCACAAAGAGAATGAGAGATGCGATGGTAGTTGCTATTGTCTTCCCTAATTTGGAACTTGAGGACCTAAAAAGACTCCATCATCCTGTAATGATTTGATTAGTTCTATAATATGCAATAAGTATATAAAGTGGGTGAAGTTAGGGACAACTATTTGTAAGAAGCTAGAGACAGTTAGATAAGGTAGATCTCCAGTGGACTTGCTTTGAAATCTGTATTTCTTTAAATTGTTTTTTATTTTTTATTTTTTTTAAATGTTCTGTTCTGTTTTGATATGGTTAACCTTACCCTCTTAGAGATGTAAAACAAATAGGTGGGACTGATAGTCATATTACGGAGCTTTTGTTCGACCATAGAGCAGAATGGTTTGTAGGGTCACTTTTTTGAATGTCATTCTAAATACTTTAATTCTATAACCTGAACAGCCATTTCGAAGATGACAATTTGTAACTTATCAACCAGCAATTTCTTACCTTTTGTTTGTCTGTAATTTAGTATTATTTCTACCCTTTTTTTTTATCTCCATGTATTTTTTTTCTTTTTTCGTTTCCTTTTCTTTAAATAAAAAAAAAATAATAATAATAACTCTGAAAAATAAGAGGAATAAAGTTAACAGTGACAAAACCGTGAGGCAGAGCAATGTTCCTTGGTCCCAAAAGCGTCCCTCTCTGAACCTGCAGTCTCCCTAACCTGGCTCTAATACCTCAAACATCCTTTGCCTTCCGTCTCCCCTCTCCTCTCACCTGCTCCATGACCATTGCCCACTTATCCAAACCTGTTTATCCAAACATCTGGAAGATGAGACATGATCTAATGAAAAAATTTCTAACACCTCAGTAAAGCATGACATGGTAAAAATGTCCAGAGACATTTAAAAGAACTATATACACAGTTTTAAGCCAAAGAAATAGAATTACAAAAACGGAATTACAAGGATCTCCATCAAATGATCATTTGGGGGAGATCATGAATCTCTTCAAATTTATCCAATGGTGTAAATTTTGCCTGTGTCTCTCACTTCAAAGACTGTGCCAGAGCCTAGGACAGTGACTACTGAACAGCTAGATTCTTTGCCAGAATCTTCTTTCCGGGACTACAATCTGGATGGCAGTTGCAGATAGTCCTCTTGAAGGTGAGCTCAGCTAGCTATCAGAGAAAAGGCCAGTAAGATAGACTTTGCTGTCATATGATAAAATCCACTGGCTTCTCCAAGAAAGGAAGTGAAGAGCTGGATCTCACTGCTAAAACCATAGGGGATTTTGACAGTCAAAACCAATATTGAATCATTAGGGAAATAGCTCAAAGCAAAGTGCTGACTGTTAGGAAAAGAATGGAACTCTGGATCCATAAGCTATCCCATTTACCCCTAAAGTTAAGCTTACAAAGTAACACATCACCCTCTCATAGAATCATGAAACACATTAGCCAATCAGTATTTCTCAGATCCACTGCTGGAAACATCCCTGGCTAACTCATTTTGGTCATAGTTGGCACTGTTTCATTAAATGACATTTACCCTGGAAATAACAGCAATATGAACATATGTTATTAAAAACATTGATCAAGAAAATGAAAAGAAGGAAAAGGAGACGTAACTGGAGAGTTTGTTCTGGTTTCATTGAATTCAACAAATAAATGTTTTATTTGTATAGCAATATTTGATTACTGTAGGTGTGATCAACCAAACTTTAAAGCTAAATAGAAACAATAAAATGCAGGGGCTGGGGGTTTAGCTCAGCGGCATAAGTGCCTGCCTTGCAAGCACACAGTCGTGAATTCAATCCCCAGTATCAATAAAATTTTAAAAAAAGAAAAAAGAAACAAATAAAATGCTAATAATAACTTTTAAAATATTGCAGGAGTAGCTCCATTAATCTCTATTAGCAAACACTATACTCCCTTCTGCTTATATTTTTTCAAATTTATTTTTTATTGCTATTATTGCATATACCACATTTGGTATTTTACCTTCTTAATCAATCCCCAATGTAAGGAACATGGTTAATCTTACTAATTTTAAGCTCAATAAACAAGAAAAACAACTAGAAAGTATATTAAAGAATTTTGTAAATTTTACCTCCCCAGAGTCCAACAATTTGTTTATTGGCCTATTTCACACTATTTTTTTTTTCCTGCAGATGGATTACAGCTCTAAAAACATCTATCAAAAAGTGGCTTCCTTTGCATCAGGCTATTCAAGACTTCATGAGTTGACCTGTTGAAAAAACCAAAATGTGAAAGAAAGTATAATTATTAAGGAAAAGCATCCATAAGATCAGTACCAGCTTATTGCAAGAAGAAACAAAACCTCACACAGCATTCCAAATTATTATTCCTCTAATGTATTAAAACTTTGTAATAAGATTATGATTTTGCTTTTGATCCAATAAACCAATACGTAATGCGATGTTCAGATATACCAATAATACCAATATGTAATGTGATGTTCAGATATATCAATAATATCATAAGCTGCATATTAGCATCCCCTAGCATCCCCTAGTCCCATCTTTTGAAGAATAAATATATTAAAAATTTTAAATTGTATTTTATCTTATATCCTTTGCTAAATATTCTATTCTGTGCTTTGACTGTATACTTTCTAGAATGCTTTCAGGCCATGTTGCAGATACTGATGCTTGGGAAAATTAAGAACATAGAAATGAAATGGCTTAAATAATGAGTAAAGATTTCAGTAAAGTCTTCTGTCTTAGGTCATCTTACAATAAATACGCTCAAGTGTCTCCGAGGACTTTCCAGATAAAAGAAAATAATAAAAATTATTGTTAAGAAAGATAAAAAATTAGATTGACTTTAGAGGAATACATTTACCTCAGACATGGGTCTCAAAGACACGAGTGTCCATCACTATGTGTATTTCTGTCACACCAAAAACATAAAATAAGCAAGAATATTTCAAACTTGGTCCTGAAAGCAAAATTTATAGAACTTTGAAAGAAATTCCATACCTTGGCTTCATGTCTCAGTGGACCAATCCCTGTATTGTTTCCAAGATGTTGTGATGCATATAGTTCTGTGGAACATGAATCAGAGATTTCAAGGAGTTCAGCCGTAAATTCCAGTGCACTGGAACAACTGACAGACAGAATGAAGGGATGGGACATGGCTCAGAGAAGGAAAGGCGAGTGGTGGGAAAAAACCTTATTTTTTTCACAAAATAATAGTACTTCGGAGCTCATAAGGATCTTACATCTCAACTTCTCGTCTTCACAGATGAGACTCAGGGAGGTAACTAATTGCCTGCTGAAGACTATACAGAATGTTAATGGCAGAACTGGAATTCAGAGCAAGTCTCCACCTCTAACATTTTCTTGTGCATCTTACACTCCTCATGACCCCCAGGATATGTGGTATTATTTCAGAAACAAAGAAACCACTCACTACCCAGGTTACCAAGTGCTTTTTGTCTTCAGCTGAGAATGTAAACACATCAATTCCAGCATTAGTTTTACAACAATCTCAAGGAAGAATTTCAGGTTAATTGAAATTCTATCCTTTTTCCAGAGACTCTTAAATGTGGGGGAAAAAATCTATGCCATTTTTGAAAGAATTTATTGTTTTTTGTTTTGTTTTTGTCTTTTTGAGATAGGGTCTCACTATGCAGTTTGGGCTGGCCTTGAACTCATTATGTAGCTCAGGCTGGCCTCACAGAGATCCTGCTGCCTCAGCCTCTCCAGTGCTGGGATCACAGGCATGAACTTCCATACCCAACCTGCAATTTCAATTACATTCTTTTCTGGAGATTCTTAAATATGAAAATAATACCGAAATTCGTGCCATTTTTCCTAGATTCTTTACCTCCTTTTTGCCAAAAAGAATGTGAAGTCCTCAAGAAGTTACCATAGCTTCATTTGTTGTTTATCATAATTTAGATAAAGGAGGCTTGTGAGGATTGTGGGATGCACGTGTACTAAGAGAAGCTTCCTGCACAAACTCATGCCAAAACAGGCGTCCTGTAATAACTCTGACCAACTTAATACCATAATTGAAAAATTTTCAGTTAACAACAGGCAGTCCTCCATTCTGAAAATGGTCCCTTTGTTCTCCCAGTATCTGCCACAGTAATAATGAGGCCTTTCAGCAGCAGCATCAGTAACGTTCATGTCAGAAACCTGGGGCTCCTACATCTGCTCCCCAGCAGTTCTCTCTGCCTTCCTGGAGTTAGGCCATGGAATGTGCAGACCGTGCTGTTACCAGGCAGCCAGCAAGGGACCACAGCCGCTCAAACACTGGAGCTGAGCTTTCCTCTAGAGGAGGAAACAGAAGCAAATAATCCAGTAAAAAGTGAATACCATTTTCTCTGACTCAAGGATTCATATGAGTTACTTGAAAATGAATGCTATCAACATTCAGAGCTCAGAAACATACCCAAAACCTACTGTTCTTATTCTTAGAAATTTCTATAGACTTAAACACTCTAAGATATTAGGAAGATATGTTGTGGAGGAGAATTTTTATGCAGAGAGTGTTTTTACCTACGTTTCGTGATTCCCAGAGATTTGTGACCTCTGCAATTAAAGGGGAAAAGTTAGTTCTAAGATTAAGAACATTTCCCCAGATCCACCAGACTTCCATCTCCAATAGATCTCATAAGGAGGGAAAAAGTGCTAGACTAGCCTTTCACACTTCTGGCTGCTGACTGCGCATTTTAGGGTTAGCCTCTCGGCCAATCAGGGCAGGTTCCCCACCAGCTCACTGCTCAGCTGGCCCCCACAGCACCTGCTGTGAGCCACATTCCCAAGCTGCTATGGATCCACTACTATTAAGAAACAGCAGGGGGAAAAATTCATAGCAGTCACAGCAGGCAGTGAGTGAGTTCTAAGTCAAATTCTAGCTCTGCTGCTTCCTGCCTGTGACCTGAGACAGGTTCCTGGAACCCCCCTTTGCTTCAGTTTCCTCATCCATAAAGAGGTAATTATATACTTCGGCTGAGAATGTAAACACGTCAATTCCAGCATTAGTTTTACAACAATCTCAAGGAAGAATTTCAGGTTAATTGAAACTCCCTATGTTTATGAAAACACAACGTGCAGCATATGAAAAGTGCTGGCTGGATGTGCAGCATCAGTTTACTCAATATGATCACCATTAGCAAGGACTTGTCCTCCTCACGTCTCTGTGGATGGCTTCCGAAAAAAATGTGTCTTGGCTCCTTCCTCTTCTTACCAGCAGCTGCTGAGGATGTGTGAGACATTCCCTAGAGACTCTGTCTGCAGAGGATCTAACACAACAGGTGAAGGCAAATTCTGGATTTCGGGGTCAGATGCCTCAAAATATGGCTGATGTCAAAACCAAAGGACTGGCTTCCAGTCCATTGATGCATCTCTTTGGTAAATCTGGCAGAGTTTTCATCAGTATTTCTGAAAACCCTAATCTAAATATGAAATGTTCTTGTAAGGCCGCTGCAGGCCTATTGGGTGCTGATCTAAGCCGGGTCATCATTCTGCTTCACCTGGTGGTGCACAGACTCCAAGGAAAATCATTGCCCTCTTCTGTTCTTGGGTTCCTGGGAGAATTGTATTCAGCGAAGATAAATTAACAAGTCTCTGAAACACAACAATCTGTTCCCCCAGGAAGGGAATACTAAAGCAATCAGTCTAGCTCCTTCTTTGTCTCATCCTCAGAGTTCCAGAAAATTTTCTCCGTGATCTCTTGCCTTCAAATCTGTCAAGCTTCTGCCTGGACTTGGAACAATATTTTTGTTCCCTTCTTTTAAGAAAAAACATACCTTCTTCACAGAGATTTGGCTAGTAGTGGAATTTTATTTTTCAACCAAATCTGCCCGACAACCATGAATGTAAAAGGTAATGAAACTATACAACAGTTTTTAAAACAGCAAATGCTCTACTATAAGGATAAATTCACATTATGTATATGCTTACCACATTTACATATGTATATTAATAAATACCTTTTCATATGTTTCCAAGTCTTCCTTTTTAGCATAGAATCCATTCTTTGTCAGAGAATTTTCATTTCAGTAACTCTTCATAGGCCATTAGCCTAACACAGATGAATACCAAAGATATATATAGAAAGAATGTATTGAATATTTTAGTTAGCTATTGATAAGTCTTTTGAAGCAGAATGGAAGGAGATCACATCTAAAATCATGCCTGTAGGGAAACCGGAATATGCCTGTCTTGCTGACTCCATGAACTAAAGCCTGTTTAATACTCAACATATACTAATGCTCAATATTCATCTAGTAACAGTATATAAATGAGTTCCATTCATTGAGCTGAGCACAGATGAAATCTGAATCTGCTAATTTTAAGTTTATCCTCTAAATTCCACTGATATTTTAGGTCCTGAAAATTACAGAAAGTTGTGAGGATAACATTAGCATCAATTGATTATAATTATATGACATGGTAGCACCCTCCTCCGGGACGGCCTGATTGGAGCATGAGTTCAGTATATCTTTCTCTCTGCTCTGCTGGGTTTTGCTCATCTGCTTCATTCTTTCTCTTTGAAAGTTGACTTTAGTTGACATGCAGCATGAATGCATGAAATGGGAGTCTCAAAATTCAGTGAGGGTCACAATCCCTTAGCGCTTGCACACACTGAAATATTCTTATGAAATATGGCCAGAATCTGTATGTCAGTCATATCAATACATTAGGGTCAGAAATGCTTCATATCAGCAATAGCAGTAAAGGCCTCCACAGCAATATATATAGAAGACCCAATTTTAGAATGGCAGCTCCCCCTTTAATGGCAGTTCCCCACTTATCAAAGAGAAGAGATAGGAGCCTTCATAGTTCTGGAGCACTTTTTCCCTCGTGGATGTAATCTGGATCTCTATTCTTTCCAGATATCCAAAATTAAGCCTCATGACTTGCATGGTGGAACCTGGAATGACACCCAGGCAGCTGCTGTTTGAATTGAGCTGCTGCTATTTGCCACTAAAGAGCCTTGAATGATTTAGCTTCTAAGTGAAGCCACTTTAAGAGAAGGCACTATTAGTAATCATACTGAGACAACAGATGTAATGTCCCTGGCAAAGAAAGACTCATCTTGACTTATGAATAATCCACAAAGTGGTGTCCTCTGCTTCCTTATGCACATGGAAGAACCTGACTTCTGCTGACAGTGTCAATTTTATTGATCTCAGGTCCAGTCTTCTGTGGGATAATAATTTCTCTCTTTCAACCCCAATTCCAACAAATAAAGAAATTACTCGTGACCCAGGAGGTAAGATCACATTGTATCACATTTTGAGAGCTCTGCAGCCCTGGCTGTACATTTGCTTGGTATGAAGTAGGGGGAGGAAGGATTGCATCTATCCAAAGTGGAGTCTTCAGAAAGTCATTTGTTGGGATTTTATCCTACTTACATGAGCTTAACAATATGGAGGAGACCCTGAAGCCAAAGAACCCTCATCAAAATGACTGCAGTTTAATGAGCTTGCCTGTCGTCTACCAGTGGGCACTCACAGAAGAAACTCCTGTCAGACAAAAGCAAAAGCAGCCACAGCCAGGTATCAAGTTATGGCCCATGATTCTGTTTCCAACTCAGATACCAACTGATTGTATTGCCCACATCAGGTCATTCAATATTCAGATACTTAATTTCTTCACCTTTATTTCTGTAGACTCAGTTGAAAAAATAGATTTCAAAACTAGTTTACTTAAGCAAAAGTTCTTGAGAAGTTATCCTTTTTCCTGAACTGCTAATAAATAGTAAGATCGATTACCTCATACTTTTAAAAGTTGCCATGTTTTACAATAAATTATAATGTAGTCCAAGATGATGAGGAAAGTACAGTTACCTGTAGTTAAAGTGATAAATGCAACACAAGAGCACATAGCCATTGTTCATATAGTAATGAGTCGAAAATCTGACCTTTTATAACAATTGCACTACTGTGTTGATTCTGCGGCAGGGCAATGAAGTGCTACATTGTGAACGCGAGTGTGAATTGGGAATCTTCTTGAGTAAATGTCATTGTACCAACCAAATCTTTTATTTTACTAAAATTTCCCTCTTAGTCTTTCCAGTTGATTGTGCTCACGTGTCCTTCATACTTCAACTTCTATAATTATAAGAATATATAATGTCTAATTATATAC